TTGTTACTAGTAGCTTCTTGTTACTAGTAGTAAGGCACTTGTTACTAGTCGCCTTAAAAGAACATGGATAGACATTCAGGACTTGACTTCTAAGATCTCGATTTTCTTGCTTGGCCGCTTTTGTTTGTAGCAAAGAATTGGTTGCGAACTCTGTTGCCATGAATCATACTAGACGATCTCTATCCCCCACCGCCGATAATTGACTCCGTTCGCAGAAACTAACTTCTGTCTAGCCTACCTGCTGGCTTTCGTAAAGATATATTTGTCACTTTCATGAGTGAAGTGCAAGAGCTCTGACAAGTCGCAAATGATTTCAGATGGCAAAACCACGAGCAACTTCCAACTTGAACATCTTGAATCCTGAACTTCTCAGTCTGTCCTCACGGTACTCCTCTTCACTCCGGAAGGAGATTGGTGGAGGCTTCACCTTCGATGTCACACCAACTTTCGCAAACAAAGAGTTGCATCTGTCAACACCTTCCAAAGGCAGCTCAACCGACCTATACACACAAAGACACACCTGAATGTCTGCAGTGTCTTCTCTGTCTTACAAGGAGTCTGCAACTCCATACTATGTGATAATCGAACAAGTGTTGATAACTATGCATCTGGAGGAGCGGGTGGGCAATGAGATATGGTGGAACTGCACACAACAAAACACGCAGAATAACTTGTAATCGAATGTAAACATGTTGAATAAGCTTGGGTGGCAACTACCTAGCTTCAATGCACGATAATAACTTGGGCTTGAGCGTTGAGTTCTGTTCCTGCTCTTCTTTCACCATACTTCTCACGGATACGACGCAATGGCTGGCGCCTTGACACGAAAGAAAATGGTCAAATTCCCCCAAGACAAGAGTTGCAGGGAAAGTTTTCCTGAGCCTGAGGCTCATCAAAGCGAAGTCCTAACTTCTTTGGTTCACCATCAAGAACTGTCCTGAAGCAAACGACTTGCAGGTTTCACTCTCTGCTGCCAAACCTCAAGACCGAGAACTCTTTAGAATCCCATATAATCCTTTTTAACACATTTCCCCCTAGTAGCTTCTTGCTCCTAGTAGTAAGTTAGTAAGGCCAGGATCCCCTAGTCTTGCTCCTAGTAGTAAGGCCAGGAGCGCCTAGTAGCTTCTTGCTCCTAGTAGTAAGGCCAGGAGCCCCTAGTAGCGTCCTTGCTCCTAGTAGCGATGCCAGGAGCCCCTAGTAGCTTCTTCAGGCTAGGACAAATTTATTCAGGAGATCTCTTTGTCAACAAACTTGCACCTTTCCATGTTGTGCCTTGACTCTGCCCCGCCAATTCGTCTCACACAGCATTCAAACGCGCTGCTTGCAGAATGTGTTCCTCTGGTGCTTGTCCACAGCGTTCTCAATACTCATAACATTCCGAGCCTTTTCAACATATTCAAGAAGTCAATGCGCAAAGGATTGGCTGCAAAATGCGATGCGGCGATGCTGCATGCTCTACTGTGGCTTCTTGCATTCATTATTGCTGCAGCATGGAGCTTCTGGCTGAAGGCCCAGCCTGGAACTTCATTGGAGGCATCTTTTCCTGGGAAGCTACCCAGCACTGACCCAAAAGGTTGCGGGCACTGATTCTTCAAAGCCGGGCCTGTGATTCACATTCAGGAATCTGCAAAAGGCAGCAGCCTATTTCATATATATGTATATATATATATATGTAATTCAATGTCATCCACCTCACCTCAACCATCACGATTCAATATATTCAATAGAGATAATCATAGTCAGCTACGGTGTCCGGATTTGATTTCAAGTGCCCTACTTGGCATTGTGAATGTTGAATTGTGGATCTCTTAAGTAAATGTTTGCGTCTCAATGTAAGAAGGCACACTGCAGCCACGTCTTCCACACGTGACACAAACCAAATAATTTAAATAAACGCACCACGCTTTCGTTCATAGTTAAAAAATGGTGACACCCAGCACCTGAAACAGTACGCAAAGGGTAAATGAGACACTAGGCTAGGAAGATTGGCATGTCTCCACCACATTGCTGGGTACTGCTGCTGTGGGATCGCTTGGGTAGGTTGTCCTTCGATTCATGTTCGGGTCCTCGGGTTCCATAGGGGCGGCAGGCTCGAATAGTGCAGGCTGTCGAAGAGCGATGACATGAGAGCCACCTGGATCCAGTTTCACTTTTCGCAAATGATTTCTGAAAAATAATACGGACATCAAAAACAAAGCACAGGTGGTCACTCCTCCTTTGTGACTCGACTCCAAACATCTTGAACCCTGTCTGCAAGTATTGTATATTATTCGGTCATATCATATTCGTTCCTGAAGAACACCCGATTACAAGGCGCACCAATCCCAAGGGATTGCGCATCAAAGGCACCAGTGATGATCTCCTGACAATTCAATGTCAGAAGGGACACCAAAGTACTTCAGCATTCGTATCGTCTCTTCAAGCTTGTAATTGCACACGACCCTGACACAGCAGTTTAATCTATATTGAATATATTTGAATGTTGCTCCCTTCGTCCCAGAGTTCATCAACTTTCATTGGCTCTCCTTCAGCTGCAGCTCGGGGTGCAGTTGATTCTCTACCCAACGAGTTTGCAGGTCTTCCTTGCAGTGATGCTGGTAGACAAAGACAATGACCATCACCAATCACGTTGCTATCACCTAACGTCTAAACCCGACCTGAAATAACAAGCTGTTCGATGTTAAACATCTCAGTTTTTCGAGCAGAATGAATGCATCACTGCACGACGAACGAGCCTTCCGAGAGTCGGAGACCTGCTTGGCCATTCGACGGTAGTCAGCCGCCTGGCCGGATGCGATCTTGGAGCTGACTTAGTCACCATCCGGCAATGAAGGAAGTATCAACTTGCTTGTTCTCAATAGGTTGCTTCCGTCTGATAATGTATTCCACCTTTTCCACCAGTCAACTGCCTCATAACACATGTGACTTGTCGTCGAGGTTTACCCAACTCAACGGCACCTCGCGCGGGCTTGGATACTTGAAAGGTTTCCGATTGTCCTCCTGATTGCAAGGAAGTGGCCAAAGTACACGCTCTCCCCAACAGATCTCGAAATTATTCTTTCACTGTACAACGCTGTTGTGACTTCAAACGACTCTTGCGGAACATTGGCCTTTGACTAAGGCTCAACCCCCCACAAAGAATCAACTGATTGAGGTGGGGTGGATGTCGGACGTGCACAAATTGAACACCTTTGTACAACTAGCTCACGGCTGTCCTGCGGAACTTCCTGCCGGAGCATCCTGAATGGCATGCTGGCTCTGTGCGCGGTGGACGCATGTTTACATGGGGCCCCTTGCTGAAAGGAAACAAGTCCACCAGTCACTTGCTCCAGGTTCTGCGATTGGGGTACAACATTAACAGTGAACTCATGCTCTTGGCGATATAAACTACTGTTCTTGTAACTGACAAACAGTGTTTTGCACGAAAGCAACAACTGTGGACATCCTTGGATTCTAGGCTCACAAATCTGAATGGGCAAAGCCGGTCAGCAATTGTGGACTTCATATTACGGATTTCTCCAAGCACTACTGTGCTTGTACAAGCAGGTGAGGGCTCCTTGGCTTCAACACAGTCTCTTCACTCCTCCCAACCCCCTCCATGTGCCTGTCCAATGGAACGTCTTTGTCCAAGAGAGGAAAGCAACCGGAGTTCCGCTCTGCTGAGTAGGTCCAGAGCTGACCCTGTCATTGGGAAATGATTCCGGCACTAGGAACAAGAAGCTACTGGGGGCTCGGGGCTCCTGGCCTCGCTACTAGGAGCAAGGACGCTACTAGGGGCTCCTGGCCTTACTACTAGGAGCAAGAAGCTACTAGGATCTTTTTCCGTAGTTTGTTGATAGCTGAGTCAAATCTCGTTCCTGCCTGATCCTGCATTTTCTCCCGAAGAGCCTTCTTCTGAAGCTCGGCCGTGTTCCTGGCCTCGTTTTAAATCGTGAACACATGAAGTCGTCAAGGAGCTTCGTGTCTGCTTATCTCTGGGAGGGCTTGTAGTTGGTCTATTCTCCAAGATTGGTTGTCAGTTGTGGAACGCCCGAAGACAAGGGAAGGAAATAAACATTTACTGTACTATATTTACGTCTATCACCTCATCAAGCGCAGTGGACCTGGGTCTCTTTATCCAAATTTGCTGACTGAATGTGGGTTCTCTGCTTAGATCTTTAGATAATCTTAGATTATATTTTCTTGTATAATATATTACAATATATGGTTATTTTCAAAGTTATGTGTTTTTTCTTCATTTCTGGTTTCTTTGCTGTGATCCGCCCGCGTCGGCATGGCGCCGATTTTGTTTGCAGCGCCTGGCCAGAGTAGATATGCACTTCTGTGCCGGGCCTTGGACTCACAAACCCTCGGTTGCTTCAGTAAAGTGTGAGAAACGTGACAAACACCTGTTATGTAACACACGTAATTATAAGCTATATGAAAGAAACAACAAACATCTTACTGTAAGTAAAAGAACAAAACCACATTGTGAACAGTCAGGCCCCTTCAAATGATGGAATTTTTATCCCTTTTCATCACTTGCTTTTGTTATGTCATGGAGTATAATGTTGGGAATGTTTGGTTCTTGCTCTAGGTGACTCTATGTGTGCAAGGAGTTGCATCCAAAACAATAGGCCTTTGGTAGAAGAGGTTTTTGTTGTCTTCATTTTAAACTTACTGTTTTGATCGTGCCTCACTTTTCAGCAACATGGGGAACATCCCATATCCCTGTACGGCATCATGATGAATCCAAGCGGCGCAAGAAAGGCTTTGTCGACATCTTTCTTGGGGCCCACTCTCCGCGGACTTGCCACCTCCTCAACAATGGAAGTCTGTCTGAAACAAACATCTATTTTCTATTTCTGCAACTATGGTTACTTTTTAAAACTAGGAGCAACCACGCTACTAGGGGCTCCTGGCCTTACTACTAGGAACAATGTTCGCTACTAAGTGACCTGGATCCAACTATCACACTTAGCCTCTAAATCCCATGGCTGTGGAGAGATCTGAAGAGCCAAGATCTCTGCAACGGCTCCTTCATCGCTCGGCTGAGCTCTTTCACTGCCAATTTGTTAGTGCCTTAGCCAACAACCCCCGATAACATACCAGGACTCACTCCTGCGAGCTTTGGACAAAAGTTAGAGTCTTGAGTGACTGTGGAGCACTTGTATTAACCTAAGAGCGATGGCCTCCAGCCTAAGAGCAATGGAGCACTTGTATGCACTTGTATTATATTGGACGTCGTCGCCATTGTATCGATGCGGCACGCTTTGCCAAAAGGATGAACATGACAATGCCGGCTGAGAGCAGAGTTGGGGTTCCCTGCTCATCGCGTCAAGGACCTGGTACTCCCGGTCTCGTAAATGCCTGCCGCAAACCACCTTTGCTGTAAAACTGAACCTGAATTCCGACAACCCGCATCCTAGAAATATATGCTTTAAAGATTTTGCAAGCCTTTGCATCAGATCGACATGATGTGCGAATTGAGAAGTCAAAGGGCCACCGAGTAACAAGTAATCATTTCCAGGTTCTTCTGCATCTAAAAGACTCTGGGGGCTTTAAGTAAATGAGGCCGACAGCAGAAAGAAACAGAGCCGCTCAAAAGCCTTTCGTAAGCAGGGTTAGCACTCTCCAACTTCGGCTTCATGAAGATCTTTGCGTTGCGCACCTTCACCTGACCACAACATGTCACGCACGGTTGCATATTTATTAATGCTGGTGATATGGCCACCATCTGATAGGTTCTGATTGTGTTTTGAGAGCTGGTTGAAGCCCTATGCGGCCTATGCACCTCCATCTGCCCGCTACCCACAAAAAATGGATTGAGCTTGAAGATGGTTGGAGTATTGGCAAACGCGCTGCACAACAACCATACCATGCTGTGCCTCCTCGGTGACGGAGGCTGCATCATCATGATCAGAGTGTTCTGCTTCCTCGGCCTAGTGCATTTCCAGAGATTCACCGTTAAACAACAAGCGAAAAGGGTTCAAACCCTGGGGGGGCCACAATGATGTTGCCACACATGTTGTTCTACTTGCCGACTCTACGAAATAGCTGGATCAGGCAGCAACTTGCACAAAATGCACAAAAGAATGAGTTCAGTTTATTTAATAATGATAAAGAAGAAACTGTCGTAAATAAGTATTCACAGGAAAAAGTACAGCATGGCAGGCATCACAGCATCGCCTCATGAATGTCCTGGGGGCCATCCTGATCTGCTGATCCTTGGCCTGATCCACTCCGCGCACTTCGGCCGCCGCTTCGGCCACTGCGGCCGCTCCGCCCCCTGCACACACGGGCGCCGCGAACCCACCACCCACCAAACTTGATTCACGCACTGCCCAAGCACGACGCAAACTGTTCAATATGAATAAAAGATTACAGTAAAATACAGTAAACGATATTGTGAAGAGTTGAATATATGCGATGAAGATCGATGAACTCCACAAGTCCACAAGTTTGACGCATATTTGTGAGAACATTGAACATTATATATATATATATAATTTAGTCTTCACGTCTTTGCCTTTGCGACGCAGTAAGCCCCAGGCGTCCGGCCGGTCATCCGAGAATGTGCCGACCTCAGTTGAATTCAATTCTGCGAGAATTCAACTCCGGCGAGTGGCTAAGTCACTACTCGATTCATGACCAAAGCCACTAAGCTCCTGACTTGTTGTCATCTCTATCATCCAAACAACCTCCATGCAACTCCTTCTCGGCAACAAAGTCGCCATACCTGGCACAAGGTCCGTAAGCAGCACAGGCAGGAATCTGCTGGAGGAGTGGTGAAATTCAAAGAACCCTAGAGTGTCTCAGCTTCCTGCTGAGTTTCAATGTCCTCTACGCACACGGCGCTTGGAAAGGAGTCCATCAGTTTGAGAACGTGGATCCGCTCCTATCAAGGGTCTGAGTCTTCTATCAACTCAAAAATTAGCTGGTGAAACAAATGCCGACCTCCTTGTCTAATGGATAGAATATCTTTGGATCTCTTTGGCTGGTTGCCAATGATACAGCACGAGTTGAAAGCCGCTCCGCTCTCTTCATTTCCATCAACTGGTTGAGACCGCGGCTGACAGCAGGATCACCTGGCGATCCCGCAGGGTTAAATCTAGTAGCGTGGCACTTGTTACTAGTAGCTTCTTGTTACTACTAGTAAGGCACTTGTTACTACTAGTAAGGCACTTGTTACTAGTAGCTTCGAGATTGTATGAGATTGTCACATTTGTCACTGTGTTATGCAGCCTAGACCCATCTAGTCTCCTTCAAGGTGTCAGATTGCACCATCAAGCGATACTCTTACGGAAAGACGATGAAAGACGCCACCCGCATTTCGCCGCTCTGAAACCGCTGAAGGATGCCAAGGTGCTGGGGGAGGCATCGAGGCGCTCTGAGAGCCCCGGCACTTGCTTTGCAAACAAAGGTCTGGTCGCTGCGTCAGACTATCGAGGCTCTGCCGCAACTTCACCTTCAATGAGAGGTGGATGAAGGAAAATACAGATCACATTATCAGCTCACTGCATCATGCCTTACGAGGTTGTCAGCAGGTATCTTGAAGGATCTATGACCGGTCGGAGAAATGTCTGAAGCTGGTGCAACACTTAGAACCTGCCATCTTGCTTCAGTATCAATCATGAATCACTTTGAGCCTAATCCGCTCTCCTGACTCCCCCAGATTCAATTTTACGCTAGTCAAGCTACATCCGAATGCATAGTCGATCGACCTGGTCTAGTCGCACCTGCTTGAGAACGAGGTTGAAGTCCACATACAAGCGCTTGCTGAAACCGAGTTCTGGGTTGAACAACACCTGATTGCAAAAAAAACAATGTGGAAATCTCAATAGGCCCGAGACATGACTTAGACTATCTTAGACTAACATCTCATAGCAATAGCGCCTTGAATTTGGCAGTGTTTTCTTCTGGCAAGACCTGGAGCACTGATGCATCGAACTTCTCGATGTACTTTTATGCAAGGGCATCGCTACTGGGAACAAGTGCATCGCTTCTAGTAACAAGTGCCTTACTAGTAGTAACAAGAAGCTATTAGGAAAAAGTGCTTTATTGTTCTCCCAACCGAGGCAAATGAACAATCTGCCTCAAGCAGCCTCGATAGGGCTTGGCCGTCGCGGAGACATTCGACCTCCGAGCAGTGGAGCATGGCACAAAACGCGAGCCACAATACGTGACGTGCTCCTAGTAGTAGGGCCCTCCTAGTGCATCCAACGCCTTCTCCACATTTTGTGGATAACCACAAAGCACAATAAAGCACAGAACAAGAACGCTGAGGAGGGCACCACGATGATACGGGTTCGCCGATCCATTACGATGAAGCCTGAAATGATAGCTCTGCAATCCTTCTGAAAGTCTTAAAGTATGTTGGTTTCACTTCTTTTGAAGAACGGCTCTTTTGCAGTTTTTACGCACCTCGAAACCTACTGGACTGACGGATCTGGCTAGCGGCTAGCCAGTTGTCGGAGCAACAAATGCCACACAGTTGAATTCGTGTCTCTAAAATTTCTTGCACTGCCGTCGCTTCCTGTGAACAAACAAATCCCATCCCACCATCCCACCACATGCCTGTCATGATATCTGTGTCAAGCTTCTTCCTGAATCAACATTTCCACAATTTACCGGTCAGGGCTCAGTACGTCCAAGAAAAGCAATAAGAAGCACGATCTCAGCAATAAGAAGCACAATCAATCACCTAGAAGCGATGGCCTCGAACCTAGGAGCGATGGGCTAAGTTTTTCTTAGCATAGCAACTCGCACTGGTTCGGTGTCGTTAAGCTTTGCCAGCTTTGCTGCTCTTCGTCCAACTTCACTGTGGCGATAGCACGTGCCTGCCTGACCCGAGAAACTCTGTGAGTCGGCACCAGCCCTTTAGACGGACTTGCAAAGGCAAGTCAGGCAGATTCAATGCATACATGCATCTCAGGTCTCGACCCTAGGTCCAGTTGCATAGCTTCTGCGTTGTGCTGCTTTACCTCATACATTTTGAAACATCATGAACATGATGAGCCTCAATGATTGTAAAACAAGCTGCCCTGCCCATTTGATTACTTTGAGAATCTTTGAGATAGTTTGAGTTTACATGAGTTTACCACGTCTGCACCCTTGCCATGGCACGGTCTGGAGCAAAAGCTTCAGCACGGTTGTCCTGGCAGCAGAGGTGATGCAAGAATAGAACCAAACAAATTCTATCCGGTAAAGACTTCAGAAAGCGCCATGCTCAGCCACTCAGATTAGCCCCAAAAAGTCAAATCATTGACAATGGACTCACAGAAACGTGCTGATTGAGAACAGGTCGGTTGTTCTTGCGGTAGTCAACGACCACAACCAATCTGGCAAACCTCATGTGGCTCAAGCCGCATCCCATCACATCCCTTCAACATCGAATCTGAGTTTCTGCAGCTGTTCAGCCGTCCGGGTGTCCAGCCGTTCATAGCGAACGGTGGGGGGGCACCTCAGGGACATCCTCAGCCTTCAGAGCACATATTCACAGCCATACAAAAGAAGGAAAAAAACGAAAGGAAAGACAAAAAACCGGTAACAAAAGGTAAGGGCACGTCACATGTCTAATGAGGTTCTAAAGGGAGGCCTTATTAAAAAGGCCTTCAATCCGATTCAATTTTTACCATTCCTATAAATTCTGTCGTGAATTTCAACATCACTGTGCCTTCTCAGGAGACGCCTCTTCTTGAGATCGCCCTGCCGTCTCCTCCTCCTGAGCCTTGAGGCTAAAATATTCGGTTCAATTCAAATCACTCCAAGCAAGGACGCTACTAGGGGCTCCTGGCCTTGCTAGGAGCAACGCACTACTACTAAGAGCAAGGACGTTACTAGGGCTCCTGGCCGTACTACTAGGAGCAAGACGCTACTAGGTGCTCCTGGTCTTGCTGCCAGGAGCAAGGACGCTACTAGGCCTCCTGGCCGTACTACTAGGAGCAAGGACGCTACTAGGGGCTCCTGGTCTTACTGCCAGGAGCAAAGACGCTACTAGGCCTCCTGGCCGTACTACTAGGAGCAAGGATGCTACTAGGGGCTCCTGGCCTTGCTACTAGGAGGAGCAACGCCCTACTACTAGGAGCAAGGACGCTACTACTAGGAGCAAGGACGCTACTAGGAAGCAACTCCCAATTGCAGAGCCCAAATGTCGATCCCTCAAACGTAATGACTCTCTGGGCAAGACTTTGATATCTTCCAAGCATTATAGGACCGTGTGCCCACCCCCCAAACGCACTCTGTGGGAATCTTGGAATCTTGAGCCCTTTCGGCCAGTTTTGAAGACAGGGCGTTCCCTCTATTTTGGCAATCCGACGGCCTGCAGTTCTGCCATGGGTTCTGCCAGCGCAGCCTTAGCTGGGTGTGGATGTGCGCGCGACAGACTTCCAAGATTACAAATAAGGCAACTTATTCATCACGATCCTTAGATCCATCCCGCTTCCAAGTGGCACTTAGCCTCACCCAGCTGCCATCCAAATATCTTGGCCTTGCTTGGAGTGAAATCTGAACCCCTTGCGCTTGAATACACCCACGACTCAGCGATGCACATATTTTGGAACTCGGCCTTCTCCACCGATGCCAACAGCCTGCGACATGCTTCCGTTGTTTCCTAACACAGCGACCCTATCTGACTCAGTTGCTGACTTACGTGACTCCTCCCCGTTCTTCAGGAGCTGGGATACCTCATACGGAGCAATCTCAGGCTGAAGAACCACAGCCCATCAAGCAAAGTGGCCTGAAGGTTCCGACTTCGACCCACTTGAGTAGAATTGCCTCCGTGGGAGATTGCCAAGAACGGCGCAATTCCAGCACTGCCACGGGACCAATCATGTCTAAATGAGTGGAACAAGATGTTCCACCTCATGTGACCCCAGGCCGCGACGTTTCGGCTCCAAGTCTGATCGAAGATTGAGAGGATGGTTCAATCTGTGGCAGCTGAAATGTGAGCTGTAGTGAAAAACACTCTGCAGAAACACAGGACGCATCCAAGTGTCAAAAGGCCTTGAGTTGAGAAGATCAGAGATGGAGAAGCTGGCCACGCCGTGCCACATCCTTGACATTTCGGCAAGCTTTCTCCGTGGTCGCTGCTTAGTTCATTTCAATCTACTTGTACATGTGAGTGGCAAACAAAATTAGCTGCTTGGCCTGTTGCCAAAACTAAATAGTGTTGGCCCCTATCAGTTTTGAGACTAGTTTTGAGTGCTTTGGATGCTTGTCTGGTAGCCATTTTTCGATGAAGAAGAACTGTATATTATTGTTGTACGGACGGGCTCTATTGGTCATTCAGAAATCTGGACAATTTAGGCAATATCCCTTCTTACCTGGTCTTATAATTCCGTGAAGTTTTGCAAGTTGCTCATTAATGGTTGCTTTTGCAGCGGAATGTGCCAACCCATATCTGATACAGGCCCTTCATGCCAGGAGTATGAGATAGATATTATCAAAAACACAACATTCTTGATCCCAATCGTTAATCGTTCCTGTCAATAAAGCAAGCAAGGAGTTCTGCTGATCGATACTCTCCAACTACATGCCTTGATGGCCTTTGCTTCTCAACCCAGCCACCATCGATTCTTGAGCTGAGCGTCTCTTTGACCAGGTGCTTGCCTTCTGGGGCCTCCCAACCTCAAGGGTCTAGGTGCCAGGCGGTGTTGTTTCTTTCATTAGAATCTGACAGCCTGTAGTCACTGTAGTCTATGGCAAAAAGGATCAAAAAGGTACAAGCATCTGCATCTCCTGTCCCATGTCTCATGCCTGGTGAGACTGGTGGGGGGGGCAGCAACAATTGGAGGAGCACCCTTGGCAGGAGCACCGCCCTGCAAGGCTTTCATTTGGAAACATCTCGTCAAAGATTCGAACACATCGAACTGATTTCAGAGATCTTGCCTTTTTTTTTATCCTTCGTGTCAGGTGTAGGTGGCACCAAAGGCTCCTTGCGATCTTCTCCGGAATTACACTCAACGAGCGACTGTCGTCACGGCCCTCCTCAGCGATTGGAGGAGCTGTAGCAGCCTGAAAGGCACTAGTTACTGATAGCGGCTATGTGGCACTTGGATCCACAGCTGAACTGGACATGGAGACATGTCACAGCAGCTACCAAAGTCTCGCCACAGGCATAGCGCCTTGTCACGATCGTGAACCTGAACAGCAAATCAAATCGGACAAAGTCCACCAGTTTGACTCTCTGATTCTGTGCCTCCACCTTGAGGCGGGCCAGCTGCAAATACTCCCGAGTTTCATGTTGCGGCCAGGTGCCGAGAAAGTACACCAAGTGAGCCTGGGACAGGAGGGCTTTGTCAATTGATGCGATTCACACATTCTTGAAGGATCGTGATTCTAGCTTTTGGACAATCCTCTCCCATAAGGAGCCCTGAACGCCACAAGTAGCAATGAATATAGGCCTGGAATGGCACGTTCTGCTGTGCATTGATTGCCATTGGCACGGTACGTTGACCTTGCAACCAGGGAGGGCGGAAAGTAATCCCCTAATCCCCCTGTGAACGTCGGCAGAATTCGCCTCTGCTAGTAGCGTCCTTGTTCCTATAGTAGCGATGCCCTTTGCTCCTAGTAGCGTCCTTGCTCCTAGTAGTAGGGCCAGGAGCCACTAGTAACTAGATGTAACTAGTAGCTTCTTGTTACTAGTAGCGATGCCAGGACCGCCCCAGTAGCGTCCTTGCTCCCTTGGAAAAGACTCTGCTTTTGGCCACCGAAACATCGAAGTTCCGCATCCAGTGCTGTCAGGTGCTGTCTACACTCAGAAAAGCACAGGCAAATGCAGCGACAGCACATTCACCTCGTTGAAGGAGAGTGAAGAGGTTTTTCATGGTCTTTCAGGCCGATGGCTGAGAAGAAGTCCAGCGATTAGACTGCTTCCTGAAAGATGTGGACTCTGCAGCTCCGCAGAAAAGCTCTGCCATTTTCATGCTCTACTTGTAGGCCACGCCAAAGTAGCTCTGGAGGAGCCGATCTCGAACGAAGGGGCCACAGCCGAATGCTTGGGGCATCAAACAAAGAATCAGGACCGCCTTTTGGAGCCGTTGCAAACCATCAAGGTCTCCCCTACTGGTGAACTTGGATGTCAATGCTGTATTCTCTGCACACGCCTCTTCCAAATCCTTTCGCCAGTTCACAAGCAGCTTCATCAATGGATCCTCTGGAAGTAGTGCCGGCTGGATCCAAGCAGTGGCAGATCTTGGCTTCGCAGGTTCCAGGGTAAAGTTCAGTTTCTGACCCGCAGAGTCAGAGATCGATACCTTCAGCAAGAGTTCATCCCCAATGGTCACAGGCAAAGGTCCGAAGGGGAGCAAAGGCTGATGCCAATGAGTTTCATAGCAACCGCCTAGGGCTTTGGGCCTGTTTGAGAGAGTTTCACACTCGTCTAACTGAACTTCCCACCACCAAATCAGGCAATTGGCAACCCCATCTTGAGACACCTGAAGCGTGACCTTGTTGGTGCAAGGGTAAAGGGATGCTCCTTCCAATGCCTTGCTGAAGTTTACTGTGAGCAAGGTCTGCTCAGGACTGAGTAGGTCCCACACCTCATGCCTGCGAAGGCGGTTCAAGTTCCGAGATGTAAAGGGACCACTATGAAGGGAAGGCAAGTCTGTCCCGCCGTGAAGACAAGGTGGTGGCTCCTTCTGCGAGAAAGGACCTCCAAGCTGAGAGCAGAAGTAAAGGGCATTTAGGGCAGAAAAGTCAAAGGCATCGTGACAGTTGGGCAAACGGTGCCAGCCCAAAGCGCCCACTAGGCGGATTCCACATGGGATCACTTGTGCTCCAGGCGCTGACAGGTGGTGGCAAGCGTGTTGGAGGACACTGAGCAAGGACTCTCCGAGTCCCGAGGCATCCATCAACTCGCTTACAATGATGTCATGTTCTCCCACTTGTTCAGGGCTCAATTGCCTGACGTCTGCAGCAAGGATTGAAAAGTGGTCTTGAATCTGATGGTTTTGATCTTTGACGATCTCTTTTGTGAGATCTGAGATCAAAGGTGAGAGCTCTACAGCTGTTACTCGAGAAGCACCTTCTCTGGAAGCCAAGAGTGAAAGAAGACCTGCACCACACCCACAGTCCAAAACTCGGGTCCCTCCTTTCGCTTGCTTTCGTGAAATTGCTCGAGCGATGGCCATGTGGTAGCGCCGGTTCCGCTCGTGGTCATTCAACATCTTGAAGTGCCAGGGCGGTAATTTGGTCTTCCCCAGCGGAGGTGTTGTCAACTGTCCAGGTCCTGAGTCAGCCCACTCAAACCAAACTTTCACGTCCGAGAAATGAGCCCAAAGATGAAGAGCAAATCCAAGCTCCGCGCGTCTAACAGGCAGTGGCTGAATGCAACAAATCGAATTGTCTTCTGGAAGACCACGAAATTGCACCCAAACAGCGATTCCATTGACTGGCATACCAGGCTCTGGAAAGAATGACACGTAGGACTTGTCTGCATTCTCAGCCAAGGAAAGAATGGAGGATTCATATATCAACTGCGGAGGAGAGCGCATCTGAGGGCGGATGTGACAAGCACCTCGAGGCCATCTGTGTGAGATTGCCAAGTCACCTCGCATCTTTTCAAAACGGTTCAGTCGACAGCCTCGAATACGTGGAAGAGTGTCGTCAATCAAAGCAGCCTTGATGCACAACACTTCTGGCAGAACTTTGGGCTCTACTTTGATACCAAGCCTTTGAGCAACTTCACGCCTCCTCTTCAGATGCTCCTTCAACACCCTTAGATGGCCCCATTCAAACAGACCATCCTCGTCCAAGGACAAAACGAAGAGATCTGCTGAGGCATCAGCGTCTTCGCCGACCGTGCACGCCACAGCATTGCTGTGGAAAAGACTTTCAAGGCACGATCGAAGAAGCTCCGAAGGTTCAGCTAAGCTTGTCTGACAGCCCAAGCGCGAAGAAAGTGCGGCAGCAAGGCATCCTGTTGCTCCAAAGACAGACACTTTCACACGTGTCTCCGGTGGCGAAGGCGTTCCAGAATCTCTCAGGGAACGCACAGCCAGGTCCACAGCTGGAAGAAGATATGCGCCAAAGGCAAAAGGAAATCTCTCCCAATCCTGACGAGCTACCTGCTTTGTGAATTCAATGGGCGCGAAAAGATTGGAGAGGCGTCGGGCAAAGCGTAGCAGCGAAACTGCATCCTCTTCATTGCATCCGGCTAAAGCAGCCAAAGTCCTTGCCAGCGATCCACCAGAGATGAAGCATCTGGCCATGGCTTCTGAAATCTCGCTGCAGGTGACAGATCCAAAACTTGGGCGCAGCAAGTCGGCGCGGAGGGCGTTTCGATCATGGGTCTTTGCAAAGTCAAACTTTATCGCTTCAAACTTGTTGATAGCATTCTGGCGCAGATCTTCCTCCAGCTTGCACAGCTCTTCAAGTGTCAAAAGCGAGCATAAAATTTGCATTTCAGTTTCACTGGTGCCATTTAAACGGCGAAGTAGGTCCTGTACAACCAAAAAAGATGCTGTGGATTTCTCTGTAATCTGCAGTTGATTGCTTGCAGCTGTAGTTGCTTCTTTCAACCACTCGACCGCACATGCTTCGACAGCAGCCCTCTCAATTCGACCATCACGGCGAACTCCGCTTCGGTTTGGCCGCCACTGGAATCTGAGACGTGCTGTGCAACAAACCCGACATCTAGCCCCAGTGACTCGCTGTGCGCCACTCTCCATTGAGTGACAACAGCCCTTCTTCACTCATGCTTCAACTTGAACACCCATGCTTCACCTCGGGCGGACCCATGTCATTCTTCAGCTTACGGCTGCTCTGGGCCTCTTATGATGGTGATCTCAGTGGAGTCATGCCGAGTCATTACTCTATTCACACTTGATGCTGCTCTCGGCTCTCGGTTTGACCCGATCTCGCTAGCGACAAACAAGGATATGTGCAGCTTTCTTATGTTTATGTATTCTTCATGCGTAATTAGCCTTTGGCGCGTTTCTATAGTTGCATGCGGATGCCACTGAGCCAAAAACCACCAGAGAATTAAACATGCGTGTTATCACAAGCCTCTTGTGACATGAGCCGCATATGAGGTGTGGCACAACTTACAATCAAACTCCACCCCCAAAAACACAGGCCTATCTCTGAGAACCTCTCGCTGCAAGACAGCACTGTCATGGTTCATTCGATTCCATTGGTCCCTGTCACGCCGGCACGTTTCTCTAGGTTGCAGCACGTTCTCCAAAAGCATCCAGCACCTGGCCGCTTGGTATTGGGCATCCCAAATCATCCTAAGCAACTGTTCGAACACATAAGACTGAGCAAGTCATTAGCCCATCACGACGAACACTTGCCACCAGCACTGCATAGACCTTCTCTTGCTGGGCAAGATGCTGTTCCTGACACGAGAGAACTAGAACCAGGCATCGACAACGACAACTTGTTTTCCCTTATTTCAGCTGCCAAAAGGACATCTCAAAAGGAAAGGACGCCTTCGGAAGCTTGTGCACGCCACCCAGCGTAATCAGCAGCGGGTTCAAATGCCTGGACTCCAAACCAACTCAAGAGTGACACGATATTCTCACCAAAAGGCCGAAACAGTCTCTAAAAGACCATCTCACAAACGGAAATCATATACGAATCTAGTATATATTACAATAAGGGAGCGAGTTAGAACCATGTTAAACTTTACAAACCACGTTAGCAACGTTTGATAGATTCACCCGAGTTCGTGCAACGTGTTGGAGTTGTCGCCAAGGCCACAGGAATAAGGGCTGGACTGCCGGATCTCTGGAGACAGCAAAGCGCCTGAGTCTGGTCATAAGGACTTCTTTTTGTTATGGACTCGACACATTCCTGAAGCCCTTCTTACTACTAGCTTCTTGCCACTAGTAGCGATGGCCTCCACCTGGTAGCTTCTTGTTACTATTGCCTCCATCTTGATATCTCGTGATTGTTGACTTGAGCGCCTGTGAAGCTAAGGGACGTTTGTCAGCAAGGAGTGTGTTTTGGCTACATGGCTACATTGTGGTTCTCGGCCAGTACTTGACAGTTTGTAAGTGTTTCACATACTCTTTGGCTTATGTTCGAACAATTCCGTATAGTCACAACTTTTCAGTGGCAGGACAAAGGGCGTGGCCATTGCAACGCACGGAAACCTAACAGGGCTTTGGCGTTGGCCCATGCATGGTCTCTACTGATATCTGGCACATATCTGTATCTGGTATCTAAGCTAACAAATTGCCGATATCATCTTTACATCCATAGTTTCTCGAGTGAAGCGATAGCTCCCAGCCTTGAGTTCAGAAAGGCCAGGGCAAGGCACTTGGGCCTTGAGATGAGTCCGAATGATACACATCATTGGTGTCTCATTTGCGTGGGTTATTTCAGTTCAGCCTTCCCTAATACTATGAGCACAGTCCCTTGGACATCTATCACGGTTTGCAGGAGCAGCTGAGAGAACCGCCAGAATATCTTGCAAAATGCTTGGGCCTCGCATTGAGTTGAGCGATGCATGTCATGAAAATGATGCTTCCAACTTCAACGGCTTGCCACACCAGACATTTTGTCAACACATCTCATCTCCCTAAGATCCTGGCCAGTTTCGCCTGAACATCTCTGCACAATCAGTGGCGCCAAGGGGACTAGGAGGTCAACTTTGACCTGACAAATGACCACAATTCAGCTAGCTGATCCGAACGCCCTGAACCCTTGGGGACCAAAATATCCAAAATGGTCCAAAACATTGAAGACCCTTGGGGAGCGACGTAGTTTTCATCGACTTCGATCTCCTGCTCCTCAGTGTTTCAGTATTCACTCAAGTCGAAGTTTTGAAATAGGCTGTGGAGGGAGGTAGTAGCTCGAGGTAGCTAGTAGAAGCTAGGTAGCTAGTAGCTTAAGTAGCAACTAGATGCAACTAGTATGGACGCAGGATAGCTCACGCTTCTTCAGGGCCAGGGGGCTTCCTTGAAGAAGCGCTTGCACAAATCATTTGAGGGTGAGTCTGTAAGTCACGTTTGCTCAAACTCCACCAACAGCCATGTTGAGTGATGGTGCTTAGCAACCCAGGGTGCGGCCACAGGCTGATCCTTCTTCTTATCTTTCTTCGCATCCTTCGCACACTGCAAAGGAATTGAACCATTACAGATGGTTCCCTTGCCTTTTTGTCCTTTTTGCCGGATGCGGATGGGGGAGGAGATCCTGCAAGACCATCCCAAAAGCTCAACCCATTGATGCACATCGACGCTAACGACGCTGGCCTGCTTCTGGCAAAGGCTTTGTTGGATCCGGGTAGAAGCCCTGATCGGAATTACGCAGAAAGGGAATGGAAAAAACATATAGGCTCTTTGCCAAGTCACAACTCCATCTGACCCTGTGACAACATAAGAAGCCCGAACGATTCACTGCAGCTGTGCTCTGTGGCGGTCACCCATATGGTGCCTGGATTCGGATCGCCATCACCTCAGGAGACATGTGAAGCGACGCTTAGCACTCCGATCACCTTCAACTGAGCCAAGTGCCGCAAGGCTTCGTATGAAGGCACAAGTGGCCCTGGTGTGCACAACATGTCGTGCCCTTCACCGGGTGCATGTAAATACAATGATTTACAATGTAAAGGTCACTTGATTTCCAAGCGCATGTTTTGTGTAGTGTAGGTTTACCGAATGTTTGTATGTCCAGAATACCTTGCCTCACGACTGGCGACGTGGTCTCGGCGGATCTTCCCTCCACAAAGCGCTTTGCCATCTCAGGATTCTCCTGGTCCGTCGACGGCAAAAGCAAAGCGATGCGATGCGAAGCGACATGAATTGCGTGTCATGTCTCCTCGGTGGCTTCGGCGTCAGTTGTTGGAGCATCTGCTTTTGCCTCTGCTTTTGCTGCTTGCTCTGCCTAACAGCAATGTGAATTTGGAACATCAAGCTGCCACATTCTGACTCTTAAGGCACCTCAAAGAAAACCGTATATATACATAAATGCTCGTCTAGAGTCTATATAAAGTGTTATCCTGTGTCGTCTGTAATTGCCGGGATAGCTAGCTCGCTCAAATCCATCATGCAAGGCCTCATCCTCGATGGGCTCAGGCTCTCCAACCTGTGCATTCATGGACATTGACCCAATCTCACATCCACAGCCACACCCATTAAGTGATCAATAATCACAAATATCCGCAGTGATCATCAGTCGTCCATCTTCCCAAAAAAGATCAAGTTCCTCACTAGCACGTGTGTGTGAAGTTCCAGAATTTATGCACTCCTGGGAGTTGGCAAATTCACAAAGAAATTCCCTTTTTGTGACCGCAACAACCACACTTTAGCAGGGATCCTAAAATTATTGCCAACAAACAGCACGGATAGGAAAATCTGTTCACCGAGGATACCGAGGGCACATAGTCTAAAGGTTTCTCAAACCTCAAATTCATGATGCACTTGTTGTCAATAGAACTTGTGACATCTTGTGCCTTTTGCCAGGTGTCCGCAGCGAAGGCACCCAAAGTCACAGGAACCGCCAACTCACCTTCAAGTATGTGAGGCAGCTGATCAGCTGACATGCCATTGACTAGACACGACTAGAGAAGAACAATGAAGAACAAATGATCTAGCGGTGGCCTCGAGTTACAAGTAGCTTCTAGTTACTTGTAGTAGGCCAGGAGCTGCTTGTAGTGCCATTGCCCCTAGTAGAAATGCCCTTTGTTACTAGTAGCAGGAACTGAAGATTGCAAGTTCTCAGCTGACTCTTGAAGCCACAAGGCTATTGGGCCTGCGTCGTTCAACCAGGTAAAGTTCAAAGCCACCTTAGGAACTGCTTACTTCTTGCTCACGTATGTGTTGGACAAAGCGACATCGGACAAGAAAGCCAGGCCGAATTGTCCCGTCTTCTCTGCAATGCTTTCAAACGCACGAACAGTTCAAAATACTTTGGGCGTGCTCAGGCAAGCTGCCCAAAGTTCTCACTTCTGACGCTGTTGGAACCATTCTACAAATATATCCCAATATAATCACCTGCTCTCAGTTCTCACTAAGGGCCAAAGTCATATCCTTCAGTCCTTTGACATACATTCTTATTCTATGCAACTCCAGTCTTTCTCCCACTGCCTCTGCTCATCTTAAGCCACCGAACATGTGGAAGATAGTCATCTCGACACCGAGATTCTATAGATGCAACGAAGGTCACCTAGTCTCACCAAGCTAGGTGCCACATGTTTCTTCTTGAAGACTGCCCGATTCCATGCTGGGATGAACGTCTATGTTTATGACGTGATAAAGTCCAAAAGAGGTGCATCTGCACCAAAGTCCAATGCCCATCATGGGTCTTGGATCAAGCCTCGTTGTGCGGCAGATCTGGCGGATCTGGTGTTGTGTCTTTCCAGGGCCTCGGAAGGAGAAGCAGCAAGCGAATAAAAAACAGCCGACAGGGCAGTGGGCAAGACTAGGAGCGGCTGCACAGGATAAAGTCAAGCATCAAACAGCCATGTGAGCCATGCTTATACTGTAGTAGGTTTCCAGAAAGCCTTCAAGCTTTGATTTGAAGCCGATGTCAATCTCCATGGAAACACAACCATGCTCATGCTACAAAATCATTCCAACATACTCAGTCTTGGCAACCTCATGGTCTTCTTAGCGGCAAAAGATCTGAACTACCCCCTAACTTTGCAGGTCTCAAAGGACGTGAAGAACACGCGGCTGCGATAAACGTGTCTGGGTGCCAAGACGTCACCATGGCCTTGAGCGAGAACATCGGACTATTGATATCTTTTGAGAACATCGGTCATTGAAAAACAAGGTGATCCTTGAACATCTGAATCAAAGTAGGATGTTGTTTAGTTGTTTCGGCCTAAAAACAATCCAGGGTTGAAGTCATAAGACTGTCTTGAAATCTACATGCAATGAAACCAAGAAACCCTTCAAGTAGGGTCTGTGCAAATGTACTGCCGGAAGCAAATGGATGCACTGCCAAAGATAACCGATTGCAGCATGTTCAATCACCTGTAGCATGCCTACGGTTCGTATGTAAAGCCTTGTGCTCATACCAGCTCTGGCATGTCTTCCAGTCTCCGTTGCAAGTCAAGGCCGAGCACCATGCCGGGTACAGCAGTTGCTGGAACTGGCTACATCTTCTTCACCCCATCTGTTTTGTTATGGAAAGCTTCGTAGGAATGACGACCCCTTGGCTTTCTCATAGCAGAATGTACATTTCTGTGGGACAGCATCTTATGTTTGAACGACACGAAACGTTGACATATCTGCCTAATCAATTTTATCTGGTTGCAAACAATTGCCTACAATTTGTACACATCCTTCTTCTCTACTTGTGTTGTCTGGTGGGAAGCCCTAGCCCGGTCTTCGAGCCAGCGCCTGCAGGCTAGCACGAAAAGAAAGGCTGTAGCAAAAGCAACTTGAGTGCATAGATGCTGGGTACACAGTTGGGGTCAAGAGAAGTTTGGGGAATTGGCCATTGAACAGAAGAGTTTATGTAATTAAAATGTTGAAGTACTTGTGATACTTCGCGGCGATGAACCTGAAAGCGCCATCAGCCGTCTTGTTGAGCTCAGCAATATCCCGTGCCTGCCAAAGGCCAAAGCCGTCTCGAGCATTTATTGAGTTTCAGTATCTGTAGGCCCTGTAGGCTTGCTTCAAGTTGAAGTATCATGGGAAAGTCGCAAACACGAAAGGTGTATGAACCAGTGGCGCAGGCACAAATATTCGTGGCGGTCTGAAGAATATATCAAATCGTGTCATTGACGAAGTCTGGGCGTCTCTCCTTGATCTCTATGCGCAAAACGTCCAAGTGCTCAGGGGCCTCTTCATACGTGGTTCCGCCAACGACGAAGACAATGGCACGGCGGGGGGGATCTTTGGCCGAAGTACCTGCCCAGCCGTTGGAATGCTCAAACTTCATTGACAACAGCCATGCAAGATCATGCAAGCAATCTTTTGCCGATTTGTGGACATTAGGTTGGAGGCCATCGCTATTAGGTTGGAGGCCAGTGCTATTAGGTTGGTGGCCATCAGTACTGTCTCCTCCACAAGTTGTACTGTGTACCGAGGGCCACGCCGGAGACTTTGCTCTGCATGTAGGGATAGCTTGTCTGCAAGTGGATCGAACACTGCTGGATCAGGATTTAGAAGCTTGCGGACTATCAGTCGCTGACATTGTGGGCCAGCAATTCTTTGCACGTGCTAACTGCTGGAAGTCTAGGAATAGTATCTGTTCTTTTAAATCATGATATTATCTACCAACAATGACATAGCTCTCAAGCTGAAGCTAGCAAAATCACAACAGTTTCTTGTCATACAATGAAACTTATGAATAGCCCCATGCCAAGCATCATTGGTAGAGCGCACCACTAAAGGCCTACTGTAAGTATGTAGTTATCTATTTATATATACACACACGTGCATATGATGTCATGCAATTTGCCCATATGTTGCTTGTGTGATCTCTGCAACATCATCATGTTTACATGATATGTTGACAACGGTTCATTCTAGAATTAACCTACGTGGCATTCTAGATTCTAGCATGATATTGTTTCGTCATTCTGATTCTACACAAAGAACGTCCTCGAAAACACCCAACGTGCCTCCTTTAAGCGGCCTTTCATGAGAGATTCCACCACGGTTGAGAGGTGGGTCTTGTGCTGAGTGTACACCTTTTGCACATTTGCTGTCCCTTGAAGACCCATACTCGTTGACAAAGAACACACATCCATCAATGAAGCCATCAATCCTTTCTAGCACTGCTGTCCTTTATGAGCTCAGCTCGCTACATTTTCCACACCTTTGAAGCTATTCGTGAAGGTACTCTTCGCCTCAATGCGAGAACAACTTTAGTCTCGGCAACACTTAATTGACATCAATGTGGCGAGTGCTTCAGCATGTCTGTTCACCATTGATTTCTTATGTTGGTCGCAGTTCGTCTATGAAAACCTCTTGAAGAAGCAAGCTCATCAGTTCTGATGAGAAAGCTCCCCAGGCAAGGTGTTGGAACAATGCTCCTCTGTCCAAGCTGGGCTTTTGGCAATCTGCAGGAAGGATTTGTTCTGGAAAAGATCACTGCTTCGCACTTGCCTGGCACAAGTTGATGTCCCAACTTGAGTCAACTTGCATTACTCATTACGCGGCTTCGATCAATCTGAATCAGCCAATGAATTCCACGATGTCTGTAATGCATGCCGGGCTTGCGATCCAGCGTAACGCAGCAGCTTGTCGATGAGTCCTTCGGAACATGACTTGTCTAAACAAAAGCATACCATAGCATGCCATAGTATGCACCAAGAAAGCCTCGAACGATTTGGGAGGTACGTTTCCCGAAAAATCTAGAAACCAAATCATTAGTGCGAGCGCTTGCGTCCATATGTAGGAGCTTCCTATTGCTAGGAGCAAACCTTCTCCCTTGCTTAATTAAGTAGGCGCCTATTCAATTAATGAGGCAAGGCCATAGGCAAATAAGAAGCTCATTGTCTCACTTTCTGCTCTAAGCTACTTAGTTAGTATGGAACCACCACCACGCCAAGCTCCTATTTGGTCATCGCCAACTTTTTTGATTCGCAGCTGATCCTCTCAAGCTCAGTTTGACTTCAAATGCCATTGCATGCAAATCCTAGCACTGGAGGTCACGTTGGCACATGTAAACGCTGGCCCAGCAGACCCTCCTTGAGCTGCGCAATTGAGTTGTACTCCTGTTCATACCTGCGCTCATCCCTTGAAGAAAAGAACTCAAGGCAAACAAACAGCCACCTCCAGTCAATTCCGGTTCCAGTGTTGAGAATCTTTTCTCTATCAGCCACTTAGTTTGTGCAAAAAACGCTCTTTGCCTGAGGGCGAAAAGGAGAACCAACCGGAGCCCTTCCTCACCAACAAGTCGGCAAGCAAGTGAATCGCGGAATCGCACGAAGGATGGAGGAAACCGTCCTATGAACAAGCGTGCTTGAAAGAACCAGCCAGTGAGATATACAAGTTTAAAACGCAAAATTTGACTGAGAGTGGGTCTACTGTGGTGATCTTGGAGAGCTTCAGCAAATCCACCAAAGTTCGAAAATGCTCCTGGTGCTTCACAGGTGCGAAAAGAGCTGAAGAGCCACTTGGCAATGTTTACAGGCGAAGCGAACACTGCGAGCACCAAGCAGCTTTCCAGCATATGCCAAGCTTGGATCCCAAGTCGACATATGTTGGCGAAAGCTTCTTTCCACACCACAATCATCTTCCAAGGATCGAGTTGGCAAAAATTGGAAATACCGCTAAACAGCTGCTCAAACCTGACGATTCTCAGTGCAAGCCAGGTCTTGCTCCAGCTGGGAGGCCTGACAACGGAAGGTCAGAAGGTCCCAAAAGACGACTGTAGACTTGACACTGACAAAGTAGTGTCCTATAGAGGCAACGATCCATGTCAATTGTATTCAATTGTCATTGGTTTGGAGCACTTCCACACAGTGAAGCAAAGGCTTTTCTGAATTCCAACGGAATCACATGGAGCAATATAGAAAACACCAAGGAGCGCTTCACACAACGCTTTTTCTATCTTTTTCTCGACCTTCCAGAGCACCAAGCTTCGACCTGCGGGTTGGAGTCGCAGCTATCGCAGCTTCATAAGCGGCCCCCAGAGGCCGGAGGCCGCCCGAGGCCGCCCGAGGCCGCCCGAGGCCCCGGTGGAGTGGATGGAACCTCTTTTTGCAGGGTCCATCTTCACCTGCGAAGCTTGATCGCCTCTGATGGCAGAGGCGCAAACGATCTCCACCTCCAGAAGTGAGGCCTGGCAGGGTTCAAACTTGAGATCCGAGCCATTCCGAGCCACTGACTTCGAGGGTGCACATGAATGACCTGAATTTCGTCTGAATGCCTGCCTACCACTTGCATGTATCTCCCTTCAGCTGCTGTGGTTGAAAGATTTCAATCCAGGCCTGTTCCATCCACTTGCCACCAAGGCATTTGATCACTTCGCATCTAAGATTCCGATACAATCTGGAGGCAATCGACAAGCACGTCCAGGTCTGAGTTTGGAGGGATACCTAGCAATCCGTAGCAACCGCACACTGGCATGCTCAACAAACCGGATGGGCTGCGTGTCTGCATGTACTGCAATCCATGCTACTGAACAGTATGGCGAGCTTAGTCAGTCATCTGTGATCGGACATGTGATCGTACAAAAATACGCAGCAAAGCACTTTGGAGCATTCAATCCATTAAACAATCCAAAATAGACATCAAAACAACAAATTGTATCCTTTAACGCTGACTTGCCATATCTCTTGGAGGCACCCCAGGCCGGAAGAGCCGCTGTTGCAAAGGCTTCTGCTGCTGGCACATGTAGGCGCCGCTGTTCACCTCGTGGCAATCAAGTTCGTTCAGTTGAACAAAGTGAATGCCCCAGGTTGGAACGCACATACGGCGATATTCTTAGTGATATTCTTTCTTGCGCCGATTCCAAACAGGTGCTAGAAAGCATTCGTGTTGCATCTTTGTCCAAGTTGCGACAGGTCATGCCCAAGCATCCTGAGTCCAATCCTCGAAAAAGTTCATTGGTCCCAACCTGGCTTTTATGAACTCAAGCGGGCAAATAATCCAAGCCAGTCAAGAGCCAAGCTGTCAAGCAACTTGTGCCTGGAATGTGATTGGGTTTCCGAGTTCCTCGAGGCTCACGGAAGCAAAAAACACATCGAACTGCAATGCGGCACTTGACACTGACACTTAACATCACTTGATTCAGCCAACCCATATATCTTGTCCTTAGAGCTCCAAAGCTTCCTTCCAGTTGCGGCAAGTCCAACTTGGCTGAATTAGCATTGACACTACTCCTCTGAAAAGGCACAGCAAATGGGTGCAAAACGGCTGACTTCAATATCTCAGTTCTGAATGCTAAAATGCTGAAGTCCAGTGTGTGTTTGTGTCCACTTCTGTAACTAAGAGTTTCTGTTTTTCTCAACTTTTAAGTCGCAGGGGGCGTGACGGTCGATCTCCTAGTCACGCCAACGAAGCTAGGGAAATCGACTGGATGGAAGTTTGGACGCAAACTTCTGTACCTGCGCGGATGAAGCACGCTGTGACTCCACTTTTCCTTTTGTTGTTTCCATGGTGGTTGTTCGCATGATATCCCCCACAGTCAAGTGAACAACTCCTTTGTTAAAACACCTTCAAGTGCTCCGACTCTTTCACCTTTCGGTTCCATCGCCATTTTTCCTGGGAATTGAGTTAACTGCAAACCAATGTCAGAGTGTGACTCGCTCAGTCGTCCCACTTGGGTGCTGGGTGTGATCCTCCGCAAGGAGGCGCTGTTTTCATTCCGGAAATCGTGTAACTGACTCCACCGTTCTCCACCTCTCTTTGGATTTTCTTAACCGCTTTAGTTTCACTACTGGATTTACTGAATTTGATGCCGTCGGGCTTACGAAATACCTCCACTTGCATCTCCACTTGCCTTTCCATGTGCTGCATTTCCATGTGAGGAATTGAGACCAGTGAAGCTACTGTCCACACTTGCACTTCCACACACACCCCCCCACCTTGCAACCTAATTCGTGTTTCTATCCCACCCGCTATCTAGGGTAACAGAAGGAAATGGTACTCGACACACTTGTGTGTCGGTACCTTTCCTTCTGTTTCTCCTTTTCTACTCCTAGATACCCGGGCGGTTTAAGACGTATGTCCTGCTCGCTAACTACTGCATTTAATTCACTTCGGCTAAGTAGTCAGTAACTAGCAGGTTTCGTAACTAGTGGGCCTTGTCACTACACCTATCTTTCTCTCTTTCCTTTGCGTTTTCCTTGCTGTGTTTCTTTCCTTTCGTTCTAAGGCTTTTTAGGTGATTAGTAAGTTCCCCCCAGAGCGCCGATATCGGCGTTCTGTGTGTGTCCACCTCTGTAACTAAGAGTTTCTGTTTTTCTCAACTTTTAAGTCGCAGGGGGCGTGACGGTCGATCTCCTAGTCACGCCAACGAAGCTAGGGAAATTGACTGGATGGAAGTTTGGACGCAAACTTCTGTACCTGCGCGGATGAAAACTTTTGCACACGCTGTGACTCCACTTTTCCTTTTGTTGTTTCCATGGTGGTTGTTCGCATGATATCCCCCAAAACAGGTTTCCTTAGCTTTGGCAAAGTGCTAGTTCGTTTGTTAAACAGTTCTGTTCTTCGGACCCTTGCACCTTACCGTTCTTGCAGTAAAGGGCTAATGCAGTAACTAGCTTCCGCAGTCAAGTGAACAACTCCTTTGTTAAAACACCTTCAAGTGCTCCGACTCTTTCACCTTTGGAATTGAGTTAACTGCAAACCAATGTCAGAGTGTGTGGACCTATGCAAAACCCTGAAAAGTTCCGTGCCAATCACCCTGCCAGCAAGCCACTTTGCACATGGATCGTCAAAAAGTCGCCTCGTTTCACAATCGGCTCCGGCAGGCCAACCTGACGTGTTGCAGTCCGCCTCACTGGCTTTAGCGGCCAAGCCAAAGTTTGCTCTCCTGCAGTCCTCTCCTCCAACCTAATAATAGCGGTGGCCTCCAGCCTACTCTACTTTCTTTCACATCTGTCTAGGCCGCCCAGGCCTTCAGGATCTGCTTGGTTGTTCTGCATGAGTCGATCAGGTCCTGAGATCATTGTCATGGACGGCGCTTGCACCAACAAGGAATCCACTCGAAAGCCGGAAGCCTTGACTACATTGAAGTTGTGGCCCACCACCATGTAAAGCACGTTGGTTATTGAATGTATTGACAAACAAAAGGCTTGCAAAGCCCTCCTTGCTACAAAGAAGCCATACCTTCATGCGAGAAGCATTCTCAGCATTCGTGCTCGAGTCAAAACGGCAGCACATAAACTACCATGCCATGCATAACTCAACTGACTAAACAAACATCTTTGATATGTTCATGGATGTTCATGATATGAATTGACAACATGGATCAAACATGCATCAGGCTGCTGCAACAGCGCCTCCAGCAATCCATGTGCCTCGATAAGCCTTGACCTCAAGATACCAATGTGTTTAGTCCCAAATTGATTGACATGACCATAAATGCCTCTACTACATGTTCTTCTAAGGGCGGTTTAGGAGTTACTTACCTCAACATTCATCAACATTCTACTTCCTTGTTTGCCACACCAAGTGAAAAGCTGAGGTCACCACAGCTCACTGACCACGTTGACATGCTTCGAGACATTTCCTGGAGACATGTCAAGTCATGCATCCTCAGTGCATACTACTAATTACTCTGATGATGAGTATCGATAAATTAGCTCACTTGGAATATCGCTGGAGCAGCACCACGTCGTTCTGAGACAACGGTCCTGACAGCCTTCTGAACTCCGGGTACTCGTCGACAAAGCGCTGCATCTCCTTGAGCCAAAGACCGAACCCGGGAAAACGGCACATTCATCTCACATGTTGCGTAAACAAGAAACACCATCATCTTCCGCATGACCTCGATAGACTCGATTCGCGCGGTGTTCTTTGTGTCGTTCTGGTACTTCTCAACCTTGGATTCAATCTAAAAGGCCAGCTCTGTAATTACCAAATTTTGGTCCTCAAAGGCCTGGACGTACTTGCGAATGTTTTGTCCAAGATCACCAAAGTTGGAGTAGAGGTTGTCGTTGAAGAACTGATCCTGGTACTCTTTTGACAGCCTTGATTCTTCCGAATCGCCGAATGCTTCATGTAATATCCCCATTGGTCCCACAAGTCTTTCGGGATGGACCCAAACCATGGGACACTCCCCATGATTCTCACGAATGAAGCTACAACACAATTGCAGTACGAAGCTTTTTCAAGACACGTGTCACATAACATAACCACATCAAAGAAAGGATCCTGCAAAGGAGACATCACGATTGTCTCCAGCTCCCGATTGATGTCTTTGGAGACCTGGCGACTTTTGAACTCTATATAATAAGATTCTCCTACGCTTTCAGACTCCTCACATTTCCAACAGAGTCTATGTTGACTCTATTTGTCTTGCCTGTCTTTCTCTCCGCTTGGCTTTCTGCTGTCTTCTTTTTCTTGCGATTTCTGACTGTGCTCTACCAGGCCTTTTTAAGGTCAACCATGTTGTTGGTCATTCCCAATAGCTCGTGAACCATAGCCTCCAAGCAAGTTTGGCAGAAAGGCAACCCACCCGATATGCTCAGGGACTCAGGCACGTTCAAAGTTGCACACCTCACAATCTCCCTGAAAATCTAGGGTCTTTCTGCATCCGAGGTGGTGGTAGTAGCCTCCTTCTCCCTACTCACTCTGCTCCTAACCTTCACAGCAACCAGCTTTTCAGCGCAATCTGTGCGCTTTGTGAACGGCCTGGTAGGTCCACTGCTGCAGCAAGGGAGTGACTGGATCATTCCTCCGAGAAGCACATGGATATCGGCCATATCTAGAGATTTTCAACGAGTGATGGAACAGATTTTTTTTTCCAGCCGAGGGCGATTGCCTGTGACCGTTCATGTGAATTACTAATTAGGGTGCAGGATCCAAACGCGCAGCACGACAACAATCTGGCCCCATAGTCGCTTCCTCGTTGAAGTCGGCTTTTAAATTCTTCACAGCCGTCAAAAACCATGAAGGCAACTCCTGTACTGGGCCAGAATCTTTGTCGCGGGACAAAAAGAGAGTAGCGAAAGCCCTACAAAGGCCATCGGGATACTCCTTTAAAGCAGACGTACGCCATTTCCCGTCAACATCACGGCCAATACGACCTCCCGTTGGCATCGCAGTAGTGCGTGCAGAACAGAAATGGCGTTGGACATAGTTCCACAATTAGCAAACAGCAAATCAGTAGCCTTGGGGGAAAGACCACCATAAAGTCCTTGAAAGATCCGTAGCTTGACGCATCCAGGAAATCTCAAAAAGCATTGGATGACATCCAGATGCCAGATAGCCGGCAACGTCAAATCATCCTCCGGGCAGGCCGGATGCTCTAAGATCGCCAAGGTACCAGTGAGCAGAGCGAGCAGGAACAGTCTGAGCGTCACACCAAGCAGCTGATTCCCTATGGACACTTGCTCAGTTTCTCGACGAGTCAGAAAGGTGCATCCCTGCAGCCTGCCCCGGCTACGTAACACGCGAGGGCCTTCTGTATTTGCCGCCCTTGCACGGGACCAAGTCTCACAAGGGGGGCCTGAGAGAAAGCCAGTGAGTACACGTTCACGCATAGCCCTGGCAAACAGATCAAAGGTTGCAGGCTGGAGGAGGTTCCCCCATGTCACATCAAATATAATATCAACTGAAATCGCCATCGCTTGCAGAGCTTCAACATGTTGCTGGAAATCGCCTTTCCGGCGAGCTCCCGAGAAAAGATGGGCAAAAACCTTAGGAGAATACCTAACTTCTCTCGGAACAGGGACACGGAGCTCATGTAGCAGCTTGGCTTCTCGTTGAAAGAAGTCCATAATCGATTCGTTGGAAACAATTGCAGTATCAACCCCGGACATCAACCAAGTCGCCTCAGCCATCCGACGGAACTGGCCAAATACAGCAAGCATCGTCAGAGTAGGTGCTTCCCCTTGCTGCGCAACCCATGCGTCAAACGCATCATGGATCTCTTCAAGGTACAGAAACGTAGTCAGAGTGGCAAGTCGAAGGCGCTCTAAAAGGGGCGTCACTGCATCATCTTCTCGCAGAGCTAGACTCCATTGTTCTTGGAGCCGAAGAACCTCGGCATCCGGGCCAAGGAAGGCTTGAGCATCGTCTCTGCAACGAGGTCCCTCAGCCTGCATGTGGGGCTGTCGAAGGAGGGACTTCCGTCGCCCCTCAGCTCTGCTATTGACTGCCGGCTCACGGCAGACAGTCAGACCTCGTCTCTGATAAAAGTCAAAACAGGGACCACCCCGTTTCACATGATTAATCAGATCGGAATGTAGCTCATAGTGCTTCAGGCAATGCTCACATTGTTGTCCAGTCACATACGCCCTGGCCCTATTCACACGTCCGTGCTTTTTGAACGCATGAACAGCCATGTTGGCCTTCTTGGCAAACGTCTTTTGACAACAAAGACAACAAAAAGCCAAGGCATAGTGAACCTTGGTTTCAGGTGGGACAATCTGATGTTCGATTAGCTTGTCCCGAATATCCTGATGCCACGCAGTCCACTCTACATCAAGTTGTTGAACAGCAATAGCACGGGCTTGAAGCTTCCGCATCGTTCTTTTCCATCTCATTGGACTGTGTGTCACAAATTCTGTCAGGGATGACCAGTTCTGTTGGAGCGGGTCAAAGCTTCCAATTTCTGGGCAATAGTTCCAGGCAATTCAAATCATGTGTCAATTGCAATAGCCAGGAATAGTCCCTCTGCAGGAGTGCCCAAAGGATCGGCTGCCCTGCCACAATCAGCTGTCCAAGGTACCGCAGGCGTGCCACAGTCATGACAATCTTCGCAGCAGGAAGGCCCAGCTTGTGAAGAAGCCATTTTCGGCTCCACGTCATCGCCGACGCTCCGAAGTGCAAGACCGCAAAACGCTGGTACAATCGGTGGAAGGCTGAATCAATCTGACCTTCCTGTCGTTTGTTCCGTGGTACCCAGACAGCGGCGTTGTAGGTAATGACACTGAGGACCAGGCTGTCAAAAAACTGCCTCTTCCGTTTCAATGTCATGGCCCGATTGGCAAAGATCTGAGAACGATATTTTGTCATCGCATCATGTGCAGTCGCAAACTTCACCTTTAGTTCTCGTGCAATTCCACCTCCAACTTGGATCCAGGTTCCCAGATGGCGGTAGACACCTACAACAGAAATGCTGAAGGGGTCAACCGCAGAGGAAATCGTGATTTTGTGGTCTTGGAAAGCCAATTGCCTTCGGCATTGTAGGGCTCCTTGACCTCTCAAGTCTAGCAGGACTTCGCTCTTCCCTGGCTTGAGGTTTGGCCGAAGCCCCGCATTCTGCAGGCACCCGAAAAGGCAGGCAATGATCAACTCACATTTCCGGAGGAGTTCCGTCGCACTCATTGCATCGAAAGCAAGGGCCAAGTCATCAGCCCAGACCGGCATAACCGGATCGAGCCAGGTGCACGTCTCTCTGTTGGGGAAAGGTGAGGCCTCCCCGTTCCAGGCAATACGAATATCCGGAAAATTGGCAGAGATCGACTCAATCGCCGGCCCTACAATCTTGACCAAGGCAAAGCTGAAGCAAAGGTCGGCAAACGAATCACCTGGTCTACTGCCTCTTCGAGTTTGAACAAGTTGATCATCATCTCGCAGCTTAAACCACGTTGATTCGAAAAACTCACTAAAGAGTGCTTGGAGGTGAGGCGAGACACCTGCCTCTTGAACGGCAGGCGGACATTCCAGCATCGCACAGAACTCTCCATAACTCCCCGGTGGGAGTCCAAGCCGGTCGAAAAGATGCTGTGCCGATCGACACTCACCTTTGATCTGTACAATGTGCTGCCGAAGCAGCCTATAGAAAGCATTAGAGATATCGACAAACACAATGGCGCTAGACCTACCTTCACGAATCGCATGCAACTGATGCAGGCGTAGCGCATGTGCAGGCTGCGTCGTGCCTTGTCCAGGAATCCCTCCCACCTGGAGTTGCATGCGTTTGCCTTCAAAAAATCTGACCAGGTCTTTCCTATAGATGGAATGAAGGGCCTTACCCAGGACACTGCTGACAAACAGTGATCGATAATTCTGGATCAGCTTCGGACTGCCTTTCTTGAATGCCGGGGTCAGGAAACCTCCTTTAAACAGCACTGGCTCACGGACAAATGCAACTTGTTTGCAAGAAGAACGCATAGGCCATGGGCGCAGGTGCCTTATGGAGTAACTCACCTGGTATTCCATCAAGGAAAAATGATTTCCCTGGCTTGGCACGACGGAATTGGTGTTCAATCTGTGACAAGGTCGGCAGCATCTCCCACGGTGGGGCATCAGCTCCTTGTCTCCATCTGCAATCCGATTGTGCCAGGAGTTCATTTGCTGAGACGTCGATGCCGTCCTCTTGCTCTCCAAAGTATTCTCTCCAGCACGTCAGCAAGTCTTCATATGTATCCACAGGTTGTCCGTCAGCATTCTGGATGAACGGAAGTGGCTGAATACCGCTGGGTTTCTTGGAGTTCCTCACACCGAGCGCTTGCAGCGCCTGCGCAAAATCACGTTGTGTCATCTGGGGCTCGGATTTTGCCAGCTGCTCCAGCGAATGGGTTCTATCAGCGCGCAGCTTTTTCTTCAGCTCTTTTGTTGTCTCAGCAATTTGGTGTCGGCTATGACGAGCAGAGCTGCGCAAATGCAGACCTTCAACAAAAAGTTCACGCAAGCTTAGCACTTCAGTTCCATTCCAGCAATCAAAGGCCCGCCTCAAACTTAAGCAGTCCGCCATGTGCTTCTGCTTAATGCTATCACGGCGCAACCGAAGTCTCAGTTTTCTGATTTGCCAGGTGTCATCAGAGATATAGGATTTCCTAGGCCCTTTTTGCTGTGGGAAGAACTGGCAGAGTCGGGCTTCTATTTGCCGCACAAGTGTCATGGCATGTTGGTCAATTCCCACATGCCAATCCGGGACTTGTATACCGCGGAGGACTTCTTGAATTTGCTCAGTCGTAGCTCGTTGGAGCGCCCTGCGGTCAAAGCTCGGTCTCTTATCAGTGCGCCGTGAAGTGAGGAAAAGTACTTTACAATACATCGTCAATGGCATATGATCAATCCCGGCCTTGCCTTCATCGAGCGATGTCCTCACTTCTGTCTCAAAATAAGCTTGGCACCATGATCTGGGCACAGCAAAATAATCACATCGAGCACCTTTTATGGGCCGAAAAACTCCACCACGTCTGGTGGTGGCCTTTATGAATATGCTCAAACGTGCTAGGCAAAAAGAGGTCAAACTCAACCAAAAAGCGGCGTAAACATTCACCACCGCAATCCGTGGCATGTTCAAGACCTGCTTCTCCGATGTGACCTTCCAACTCGACCGAAAAATGCGCATTCGCATCAGCTCCAACAATGAGATTTGGATATTTCCGGAAAAAAGGCATCACAGTAGCAGTCAAACCAGTCCAAAAAGCCTCAATTTCAGACCGTCCTCGTCCACTATGTGGGGCATGGAACGTCAGTAGGAGAAGAGTAGCTCCCTGCAATATCGTCTTCAAAAGCAGACATTGAGGCGTTACATGCAAGACTTGGGTTGTGGCCTTATCAAAGGCCGTGTGACCTGTCTTCTGCCTTTCTCGGGCTAGCCAGATCTCCACTCCCCCAACGCCATCATGGGATGCCGCCGTATACCGGTAGTGCGTCGATGAGATCACTAACTGGTCTTGTCTGGACCTTGTTTCTTGCAGGAAGAGTATATCCAGACCATGCGAGACAGCCTGTTCTCGTAAGTATTGGACGAACAAGTTCCCCGCTCTGGGTCCC